TTTCTGTCAAATCAATGCATCTAGACAGAGCATTAACGAAAACTAGAAACAAAAACAGACTAACATTACAGTTCATTGCCCCTCAAAATAAGAGGTGTGTAAAAATAATTTTTCAGATTTATCTTTTATCTCTCACAAGTTGCCGCCCAAGAAGCTTTTCGTTCAAAACCAGAACTCATTAGTTGCGCTAGGCGATGAGAGACAAAAGATGTTATGAATCCCTATATATATGTGTGTAGTATAATACTACTTGATTAACGACTTGTGGGAAATAAAAATAGATTTGAAATGCTATTTTTATTTACCTCCCATTTTACGCCGCAACTGACAAATTTGGATAACTGTGAAGAGGAAAGCGCATCCACAGTTAACTTGATTTCTATAACAACAGCTTTGGAGCTGCAGAATATAAGGTCTTACATCACAAGGTGTAAGTTTCTTGAGCCGATTGTATAATAAGTCATGCACACCCTAATAAAAAGAAAGGTTTAATTTGAGTTTACGAAAATAAAGTGTCAGTTCGCTCGCTTTAAAATATTTTGACATCCGTTGATTAACATTATCTCTTTGTACCACGGTAGAGGTTGCTGAAATTCTCGTTGATCAAAAGCAGGAATACCATTCGGGTTTCAAAGAGAAAGATTTTGTGTAATTTCATGAGTGTTGTATTCTATAAAAGTTTGTATAACGTAGTAAAATATCGTTTTGTACTGTCATGGTACGAGTGACGGAATTTAAAGCTTCCAATGTATTTATTATTTTTTATTTACCGCCATAAACCTACGCAAATAAAGTTATGAAAGTTATAAAAAACAAAAGGATGTTAGATAAGGGGAAAGACAGCTAGTCAACAGTAGCCAACGCCAACTCTTGTGCTCCTTTTATCTGATCCAATGGTAAGATTTGACCACCATACTTAACGTACTCTCGACTGCAAAGTGCGGAACACGATTTATTAATATTATTATATATTTATTTTATTTCTTGTGGTAACGGGACATGAACGTATGACCCACAGATCCTTAATAAAAGCTATGTAAGAAACGTTTCGGGAGCTAAAGGTATGCAGCATAAGATTGTAAACGGGCTGAGCGTGGCCTATTGGTTAGCGTACTGGTTCTTCATCACACTAAGGTTTTGAATTCTTTGAAATAAACTTTAGGATCACGTGCTATTTGGCTTTCCTTGAAAGACGTTGTGAATAAGGAATTATCATTCTAAATATTTTAGTTCATCAACAAACTATGCACCAAAATTGGAGTAATAGTTTTTTTTCCTAGAGAAGTCACTTTCCAAGATTAATAGTACGACATTACTGCTAGGCGGTAATGAGAATCAGGATTAAAAATGTAAAGGCGCTTAACTAGTTCCAGACCATTTCAAAATTTTTATACACTAGTGAACATTGTGCTGACAGAAAGCCAGTAATATAGTTTCACTTCAGTTCTCAACTGCTCTTACATAGACACACGTCAGATGAACACCAGTGGCCACGTGGGAATCAGAAGTTAGTGCTGTCCAAATAATGTGCTTTGAAATCGTCCCAAGTGGACAGGATAGCTTGATTTGTAAATCAAACAGCAGTAATACTTCATCTGTAATCTTTATATTACATTCGCTCACATGTGCCTAACTGATCAGTTGTGCTGATTTTCACAATCCCTCACTCCCCACCTTAAGAAATCTTATTAAAGTCAAATGATACAGTGAACGTGCGCAGCATAAATACATTATCAGTGGTGTTTAAATAACACAGATAATTTTTAGTTTAATTTTTATAGAATTACTTATTTAACTGAAATGACACAGATAATTTTTAGTTTCATTTTTGTAGCATTACTTATTTAACTGTACAGGAGGAAGACTTTTTAGAATTCATTTCTTTGATCGTACACTCGAATAGATGTCCTCAGAAAGAAAAATATTAAACGTAAATACAAAAGTATCTTGTGTATATAAGGTATGAGGAAAATAGTTCAGGCTTCATCTCTTTGTTTCATTGATTTACAGACTTTGTATTGAAAAAGAACAAGAGTAAGATGAATGGTAAATTATCACGCACTAAAAGTATGGAGGTTTGTTTGTTTGTCTTTCAGAATTTTAGCGTAAAGTTACACAAATATTTTGAACTGACAGCTACAGAGAAGACAGTTAGTCAACAGTACCCACTGCTAAATCTAGCACTACTTGTGTCTGACCAAAATGTAGGACTCAACTCAACTCACTACAAAGTTGCCTTGTTGCGTCAACGGTTCGCGAACCATAAACCCTCGGATTCAGAGACTATACACGATAGTAACAAAGCTAGGCTCGGCCTAGGTATAAAAATCCGGGACAATTTACATTGGAGTAAAACACGTCTAAAAAATTCTGTAACCAGAACCTTTCCGGAAACAATATGTTTTAATATTTGTGTACAAAAGAAATTTGGTGAAAAGAAAACGTCATTTGTTAAGCACTACAAACATTTGTATGTCTGGTGTTCAAGAGTATATTAAATGAGTAATGACTTTTATGATTACATTTTTACATATTTGGTTACCGAATTACTGTATAGCTTAGGAGGAATAAATCCAAAGTTCTTCACCCCTTTGTGCGAAATATCTAGCGTGAAAGTGTAAGCTTTGTTTAAATTGCCATGGATGCATCTCCCAGCTCCTTGTAGTAAGATTGAGAATTTTGAATTACAACATATTAAATGTTGCGTCGAGGAAACGTATTATTTCTTCTATTGACCATTAGTTGGTAATTTTTTTCAAAATAATTTTATACCTATCATGTGAAATATACATGATAATCAGAAAAGGAAAACAATTATCACACGATTGATATCGGTTATTGGTTAAAACGCGCCAACCTCTAGATAACAAATATTTAAAAAACATTCATAATTTTCAATTTGTTATATTGCTTAGTCCCCGATGGGTTAGCGATAAGTTTACAGATTCGCAAAGGTAAAACCCGGGGTTAGATTCCCCAATTTGGACAGAGCACAGATAGCCCAGTGTGTGGCTTTGTGCTGAAATAAGCAAAAAAGCTAACGTTTTGAACGTATTTCCCTGAATGTAATATTTATGTAAAATAATTTAAGTAAATGTATATTGATAAACACGTACGTATGATACAGTTTATGACTGAAAGTCTCTTTCATTTCGATTTAAAAAAAATGTTTACTTTTAGATCTCATTGACGAGCTCTTCGTTGAAAATATTAGATTATTCTATGCTCAGCAGTAAGCTTCATATCTTCTCACGTTAAACTACTGTGATCGATCCCCTCGGCGGACACAGGACAGAAAGCCTATCGTGTCTTTTTGCGCTAAAACAAACAGTCATTAGAAAGACCATATTTTAATATTTATCGCTAATAATACGTTTTTATGTCAAAAAAGTATACGTAGTTTATATACTGAAGTCAAGTCCTTGGGTTCCTTTAAACCTGACGTTACGACTAATGTAAAAGGAAAGACATGTTATCCATAATGTGTTGTTTTTCTTTGCATAATTACATTGAAATGTAATGGTTTGAGTAGAGTAAGATGGGTCCATGCGATAGTGTGTGAAGTGAAGAAGAACTACTTAAGTTACTAAATAAATCTTATCTCTGTGTCTCTAAAAGACAAAACTCTACTTTACTGCACGTATTTAACATTCTTCGTCCTGATTTTCCCTTCTCAAGTATCTTTGCAAACAGAACAACAAAAAAACTGATTCCTGGCGCCTAGCCAGAGTCATAATGTAGTGAAACGTAACCAAAACGGTAGGAAACAGGCAGTTAGTGTACATAAGGCCGAGGTTATGAAGTGAGATGGAGGAACCTGTGGATCTTTCTTAGTTATCTATGACTCACTGCCAGCGCTGAACGAAACGTTCATCATTCCTTAAGATGCATTCTTTTGTAATTTGGCAGTGACGTGCATTGTATAATGTTGAATATGATTTGTTGCTCTCGTTAACTGTGAGTTTTGGCCCGGTATGGCCAGGTGGTTAGGGCGCTCGACTCGCCGTTTGAGGGTCGCGGGTTCGAATCCCCGTCCCACCAAACATGCTTTCAGCCGTGGGGACGTTATTATGTGCAACCAATCCCATTATTCGTTGGTAAAACAGTAGCCCAAGAGTTGGCTGTGGGTGGTGATGACTAGGTGCCTTCCCTCTAGTCTTACACTGCTAAATTAGGGACGGCTAGCGCAAATGCCCTCGTGTAGCTTTGCGCGAAATTCAAAACAAACAAACAATTCATGCGAGACCTTGTTGAAGCATTAGATATTCTACGGCTTCATCATCAGATTGAAGCCTTGTGTTAAACACAGAACAAGTTAAGATGAATCATTGGGTTTCAGTATTTACAAATCAAGTGATCTAATTTTTGGTAACGTTTGGAAGTCAGCGATGGTCATAAAATGAAATCGTACTTCTTATAAACGGTTATATCGATGTTAGTTTTTAATTTATTTTTACTTATTTGGGTATGCCTTGAAGTGTACAAAACGTGATATGAAACTACACATCATTTACCTTAGGTTTGTTTTTTGTTGTTTTTTCTGAGTCAGAACTTTGTTCGCATTGTTGTTTCAATGAAGTGTTTGCCGAAAATCATTAATCATGTTTCACACAATTTCAATATTGAGAGTATAAAAGTGGGGTTTTAACGAGAAGTCAGCTCGTTCAACAGTCCTTACCATTTTCAGTGTATAAAAGTGGGGTTTTGACGAGAAGTCAGCTCATTCAACAGTCCTTACCATTTTCAGAGTATAAAAATGTGGTTTTGACGAGAAGTCAGCTCATTCAACAGTCCTTACCATAAAGACATTACATCAACCGAAACGGACGATGTTTCTGGACTAGTTTTTTGTGGGTGTGATTAAAATTTATAATATTTTAAATAAAGATATCACGTGTTACTTAAAGCTATATAGTTTTTGGTTTTTAACTTCCATTCTGTCTTTAAAAAAAAAGAATGAATATATATTAGCCTAATAGTGGGTTCTTTTGTTTTTGCAGCTTACTCAATGCTAATAAGATTGGTTGTATCAGAAGAGACGCATTCGTTGATCTCCATAACTTGAATCTCTTGTAAGTATGCATTTAATTCATTCTGCCTTTGTCTTAATCATCTCGCATTCCTTGGAATACCGATTTTCTAATTTAGTAAAAAGGGCATTTGTTTGGAATGTCAAGCGAAAGTTAAAAAAAAAGAAAGATGTAAAGTTGAGTTTCTTGAATCCCAATCAATGAAATGTTTATTTAATTAGTAAACAAATTATACTGTTCTTAAATTGATGCTTTCGGACTTTATGGTTCCTTATTAATTGGAGAATCATTTACTATCGCGTTCATAAGAAGTTTTGACACCTGCCCTTCCAGCCTTATGACTTGAACTTTTGTTTGTTTTTATAAAAGCAAACTTTCAAAAGAACACCAGAATATAATAGAGTGTAAGAATATGATTAAATGACAATGGGAGATCAGGATTAATATTATTATTAAAATTTGGAAGCTACAACACTTATCCAAACGTAAGTAAAACGTACTATTAATGTAACTATTAAAAACAAGGATAAACAAATCAATATCAACAGAATCTTGTTACAGAAAATGATCGCTTCGTGTGAAATAGATGACTTACAGAATTATGCACAAAATAAATCTAAATTAATTTATTGAAACTGTTTCAACTTATATATATATTGGTTCCCTTTCATTCTCAATGGTTTTTATAGAAAATACGTATAGAATTTTACATCTGTTTAATATTGCTAATGTAACAGTTGTCGCTGTTACAGGAAAGGGTTATTGTTTTCTTAGCGATAATATCTGTTCAGAGAATTTCAAAGTAATAACTTGAGTTGCGCTCAACAAATAGATATTTACATTATTAGTTATTTAGAAGATTAAAATATGATGTTTGTTGCCATTCTGAAACAACCTATTAATCATTACCGTAAGTAACACTTGATATGGCAGGATTAAGTTCATTTTACAAACAAACCATTTATCATAGTAGAGCGCACGTAAGAAAAAATAACATTTTTTTCCTATTTATAAAATGAAATATCTAAGTATCTCTTACTCGTTTCAAAAAAGTAAGAATTGTCTATAGAGAAAATAAAGAGTTTATTTTAAACGTATTTCTATTTGACTTGTAGATAGATCTATGCGGTAATTTGCTTCCATTTTCAAAGCCCACCAGTGATTCGGGCAAGTTTTTGGGCTTATGACGCCAAAAATCGGTTTTCGATACCCGTGGTGAGCATAAGGCAAATAGCCATTGTGTAGCTTTACGCTTAGTAACAAACAAACAAACCATTTTCCAAGCTTCGTAAATATTGTCATCTGGTAGAAGACATTAAATGAGACTTTAAATGTTAATTAACTGTTTTAAAGTGAATTCTGTTTAGTAGATAGTTTTTAAACTATGATAACGAACGGGGAAACAGTTCGTAAACTTTCACACACTCAAAATATGATTCATAATTTGCTAATAATAGATGCTTAACATAGTTTAAGGGAACAATATCCATTTTGATAGTCACTGATATAAATTTCCTCAAAAGCTCTGTAAATGGGCTGAAAACTCGAGGAAACACGTAAAAGAAACCTAGAGTCATTTTTTGTTCTTTACTGGGAGGTTTAAGAGAGCAAAGAGTTATTTAGAGGGGAGAACATAAAAAAATTAATTCTTTCATGTACGTATAGAGAATTTAAAAATCTTAAAACAATATATCTAAGGTGAGGGCTGCTGGGGAAGCAGAGCTCTTCATTAGGGGTTCTAGAACCCTCATTCTACCCTGGTGGATACGCTCCTGAGGAAAACCCAGTATTTTCTGTCTCAGTCCCTTTCCACTTTATGATACTCAAGTCGTATTTACAGAAGATAAACTAAACTAGTTATCTGTAATATTGAAACTAAAGAAGCCGCTTAACAAAGAGAAATGCTTTTTCTGTTTTTAAAGTTCTGTTTTATCACTCGTGTCTTCTCTCATGCGTATTTTTCTTACGGTCATTTCATTTGGTCTGAAATAAAGTAAACAGTGCCTGAAGCAATATTTGGTTTTCTAACAGTAATATGATATTTAAAGATGAGGGAAAGGGTTACGGGTTGAACAAGATAATATCAAGTAGCTCACTTTATTACAGAGAGCTATGAAAAATGATATCCTAGTCTCCTTAAAACAGTTTAGAAAGTGGCATGTTATCAGTGGAGCTTAAGCCTAAGAAATCTGCCATTCTTAAGATAAGAAAAAAGGAGGAAGACGTGCCTTAAACTTTAGAGCACAATCTTTCGTACAGTGTAAATGATAGAGCGTTGATGAAATCTTTTTCGGGAAGCGAGTATTACGTCGATGAGCAATATAAGTGAGCGTTTGTCTTGCTATTAAGTGATATTAATTGTTTTTCTAGCTTATGTATAAGGATAAGTTGTAATTTTAAAGCCTTTTGTAAAACAATTATGACAGATCATTGTTCTTACGAACCAGATATTTAAGTCAACATTGCACGCATGTATGGATATTGAACAAAAACATGTTCAGTCTTTTTGGTGCTCTTCTTTCTTCTAAGTTATTTAGTATTCTTAAGATGCATTCTTTTGTAATTTGACAATGTCGTGCATTGTGTAATGTTGAATATGATTTGTTGCTCTCGTTAAGTGAGTTTTGGCCCGGCATGGCAAGGTGGTTAGGGCAATTTGAGGGTCGCTGGTTCGAATCCCCGTCTCACCAAACATGCTTTCAGCCGTGGGGGCGTTATAATGTGGCGGTAAATCCCACTATTCGTTGATAAAAGAGTAGCCCAAGAGTTGGCGGTGGGTGGTGATGACAAGCTGCCTTCCATCTAGTCTTACACTGCTAAATTAGAGAAGGCTAGCGCATATAGTCCTCGTGTGGCTTTGCGCGAAATCCAAACAAAAATAAACAAACTGTGAGTTGATACACA